TCTTTGACCGGATTGAAATGTGTTCTGTTTGAATAATTCAATTGTATTGTTTACATGGGCACAATCTGTTCATGACGATCGTTTACATGCAGCGGGCTTTGTTCTGAACAGCAGTACTGACATGCGCAGAGTGGTAAACTCTCCTTAAAAAAAACACCAAAGAAGAAGTTCTACTTCCGGGTGAACGTAAACAAATCTGAGCACCCAAAATGGACCCGCGACAGGTTTTAATGACGGTGGAGACGTTGCTGCACTCCCTGACTGAGCTACAGGTAATACAGATCATTTTGAGCTCTTTCAAAGTTTCTAGTAGTAATGTTGTGTCGCTCACCGACCAGTTTTGCTTCCCTGACATGCTAATATTATTAGCATTAGCCAGGCGGAAATGGCAAAGTCGCACATGCGCAGTTAGGTCAGTTTTTCACGATCAGATAAAAACGAACAGATCAAGCGTTTACATGCGCACCGATCGGGTTTTGGATCGGCGTAAACCACCCGTTTCGTTCTGATCACAAATTATATCAGATCGTACCGAATACACAAAAAATAACCCGAACGGAGTGTTTACATGACACACTTTTATTCCGACCGGCCATTTGATCCGGTTACTTATGTCCATGTAAACATACCCATTTTCATCTGGTGTGGTTTGCATTCACACTGCACTGAGCCGATCGAGCCAACTTGTGCCCCCCACCCCCGCCTGTGGTGGCGCTGCACCAAAAACTAATGAAGGAAACGACACGTAAACCTCTGAAGAAGACACTGAACACAACTTACTTCTGGAAATAAAAACAAAAATGGAGTGGCATCAAATTTTAGCGGTTTTAGGATTTCTTTTTTTGACTGTGGCTCATGTGCTAAACAAACATTTTTCAACAATGGACTCAGCATGAGTGGAAGATTAGGCAGAAGATCACGGAGAATGTTTTTCACACAAGGCGGCTGAGACAGCTCCATATGAGGTATGAGAAATGTGCGTTTGTTTTGGTTGTATTTACACAGAATGTCCTGCGCTGTAGTCCACTTCCTGCTTTTGGAGCGGTCTCCGGTCCGCTTGCATTCATAATGCATTCGAACCACGCTAAAGTTCTCTTAAACTGAACCGAGACTTAGGTTTTTAAACGGACCAGAGTTCGCTTTTTTGGTCTGCATCAGAGTTCGATTGCACATTCTCACCTCCCCAAACAAACCGAACTGTCTAGGCAAATGGACTAGAGCTTGATTAAAGTGGAATAAGCAGGGCTGGTGTGAATGCACCCTTAGTGCAGGGCCCTGTAAAAGGAGTGGGATTCAAGATGACTTCTAAGTTTGGTGTAGAAGCACAGTTAGTTTTTAGTTGATAGCAACACCATGCTACCTAACTCCTCCATGTTTGCTTTTATAGTCTGTTGTTGGGTGAGAATCTGTTGCAGTGTGGAATCTCATTCTCTTGTTTTGAGTGGCTTGAGATTGTTGTATCAGCTCTTGACCTTGACCTCTCTAAGGGATTTTAAACAACTGCTAAGTTCATGGCAAATACCAACACAGACATGTTTCTGTTTTTAGTATTTTACATTGCTTTATAATGTAGCCATTGTTGTTTCAGAATTTTTACATTATCGCTTCCATTTACTTTTCATGTTATATGCTTTTTTTAAGATTGTCTACTGTTGTTCTGTGTTCTTTGTTTAAAACAGGTCTCTTGTAAATGAGTCCTCAAGGCTCAATGAGACTAACCTGTATAAATAAAGGTTGAATTGACTTGAATTGAATTGAATTGAATCTTGGTCTCAAGTTAGATTTTGGATATTAGAATCTGCTTGGAACATTCTGTCAGGATTGTATTATTATAATTAATACCCAGAGTTCTGACTGAGACTCAAGTGACCAACACGTAAAAGGTAAGTGATAATTACTTACAAAAAGTGACTCTACAGGATCACTGGAGCCAGCTGTGGGAAAAGGTACAAGGTGAGTATGCTGAAAACAGGGCTGTAGGTATGGTTAATCCACAGAACAGGTCGATTGTGGCTTACTTGATATTTATTTTCTTCTGGGTTTGGAGTTGGTTGCAGGAGATTCCAGATTGGCAAAACAGATCAAGGACATCGGATACGTGGAGTGGAATGAGTGAGTGGCAGGACAAACCTTAAGGCAGGATGAATGACAATTGTTGTGCTTGTAAACCTTGTAAGTGATTGTAGAGAGAGAAGATGTCCAAGGGAACTCGGACTCAGGGGGAGCACAAGGTAGAACCAGGATGATGAGGAGACTGGCAACTGGAGCTACAAGGATAACACAGGTTAAGTCAGAACACCAAATGATCTGCACTTACACTAGGGCTGGACACAGTACCATAAATGGGACAATGTTCCAGCAAAATCTAGATGATCCCAAGGACCTTAAGTAGTGGAGTCTTCTCATCAGTAGAGTGGAGACAACTGTAGGTAATCAGCTTTGCTCTGATTACTATTAGTTTAAGTTTCTCTGTACTTAGCTAATGTCTATGCTGTCTTTAATGCTTAATCAAAACATTATGCCTTTTACATCTCTCTATATATACTGTAAGCCCAGTTGTTGTTTCTGTTAGTTTAAACAACCTAAAGCACATATGTCGAACTCCAGTCCCGCAGGCCTAATCTGGCCCTTGCAAACATTAATTTGCCCCCAATATTTTAAACATAGCTCTTAGATTGATTTAGAATAAAAATGAGATTAAATTTAAATCTTAAATGCAGCTCTTAAATCTGGTTATTACATGTGCTGTAATTGTCCCTGATGGTTTTTATTTGACACCTGTCTGTTTCTTTGTACATATAGAAGACAAGTTAATACAATTCAATTCAAAAAGAATTTATTAATTCCAGAGGGAAACTAAATGTTGTAACTAATCCTGGTTTCATTAAAGAGTTGTTAAAGATGCTGACGGCTGTGGGCAGGAAGGATCTCTTGTAGCGGTCTGTCTTACAGCCGATCTGAAGAAGCCTCTAAACGTGCTGGGTAAACCACAAGTCATATCAGTCATATATTAACTTCAGCAAAGTTCTCTTTAGTCAAAGTGGGTCTTTAGATTAAGTTGCAGCTTATTTTTTGTGTACTTGATGCGTAAAACTATGATGTGATAAGAGTAATTTAATAATGTAAGTGATATCGGCAGACATCTTGTTCTCAGGGCTTGTTGTTAATCTCAATAATCCTGTCTCTCTGAATGATTCCTGTCACATCTCACTATGTGCAGATTCTGCTTCTTATTTCCACTTTCTGTGCTGTGGGTGTGTGCACGTGAATATTAGCTTATTTAGTGATATCATTAGTTACAAAAGTTTCTCAATCATCTTTTTTTTTCTTGGTAAGGGCATTTACACTTTTGTTGTATTCAACAAGTAAATTGTACTAAAAAGGTTTTATAACATTTTATCTTGTATACTGTAGTTGATGTATTTTATAGAATGGTCACTGGTTACTCAGTTTGATGAAGACAACCTTTCTCAGGGTGGTCTGTTTTGTTACTACATGAGGTGTTATATGGTGCAGAAGATGTTTAGTGATATAAAAGTACAGATGGATGCAGTCAAGACAAGATCATGGTTGCTCAGTGTGTAAAAAAAGGAATTCTGGTTTCAAATATGATGTCAGCTAAAAATTCAGCTTAAAAGCTAGTTGTGTTCTACCTTCATAATATACATACTTCATGTTGTTTTAGTTCAAATAATTTAGTATAATGCTCTTGGTTGGAGAGGTTGGAATGGTTATAAAATGCATAGTTTTGAAGAGAACATGTGTAAATTGGCAGTGAGTTGTAGAATAATGCACAGGGGGCGTGGCCCAAAATCTTGACTAGGGTGCCATTTTGGCTAAAGCCCGTCCTGAACAACCCTGTTGGAAAAGCCCAACTGTTCAACAAGACAGCTGAATCTTTTGGTTGTTTTCTTTTTGTGTGGTCACTCTTGGGGTCATATCACAGAGTAAATCCCTAAATCCCATTGGAAATGTCTGATTTCTTGAGACAGAAGCTATATTAAACCTTTCCTGAGTCTCTCTTGTACCAGTCTCACAGTTTAGTCACCTGCTCTGAATTTAAAGAGCCTTGATAAAGTCTTTATCCTCTCAAACTTTTCTATGTTTTGTCACTTTACAAACACAACCTTGAAGTACTACTAGGATTTTATGTAACATATCAACACAAAGTGGTGCTTACTTTTGAAGTGGATGAAAAATAAAACACGTTTTCAACATTTTGTATAATTAAAAATCTGACGTGTGGCATGCATTTGTACACGCACCCTCTTTACTCTGATACCCCAAACTAAAATCTAGAGGGCAGTGGTTGGAGCTGTTGCCTCAGACTTGGAAGGTTGCAGGTTTGCCTCCCACCTGCAGTCTTTCTGGGTAGAGTTCTGATGTTCTCCCCAGGGACTCTCGTTTCCTCCAACAAGCCAAAAACATGCACAGCATGTTGTTTGGCAACTAAATTGTCTCTAGGTTAGAGCGTGAGTGTGAATTGTCTGTCTCTTTTGTCTCTGTGTCCCTGTCATGGACTGGAGACATATCTAATTCGCCCCTGTGATGAACTGGAGACATGTGTCCTTCTGATAGACTGGAGACACATCCAGGTGTCCTTGTGATGGACTGGAGACATGTCCAGGTGTCCTTGATAGACTGAAAAGTGAGTTAAAGAAAATGAGTTAATGTACTTTTTAAATGATTATTTTTTACTTTGAAAGTCATGTTTCATTTTCTTTCCACTTAACAGAAATTAGGAACTTTGTGTTCTGTCACATAGAATTCTCCTAAAATACATGACAAAATGTGAAAAAGTTTAGTAAAATGCAGACATTTTCACGGCTCTGTAAATTAAAACTAACAACTATAATCCGTGTCAGAGGACTGCATGGAAACTACAGGTTTGGTTGTTCACCCGTGTGTGTATATGTGTTGTGTTGTGTGTGTGTGTAGATGTGTTAATCCTACTGATGTATGGTTTCTAACTTCTGTTTTGTGATCCACATTTCTGACAGGACCTGATAAAGTCAAGGTAAGAAACTGTACAAACTGAGAAATTCCCACTAAACTCATTCAGAAATGTTATTTGGAGATATTTAGGGCTGTTTCTTTTAGCTGTACAGTAACATAAAACAGCTTTGAGTTGTAAATGTTTAACCAGTTAATCTATGTCCAGTTTGCAGAAAAAAAAAGTTTAGTTTTATTTGCTTTTACAAAACGACATCAAGAAGTTGGACCCGGTTTCTGAAGTGTAGATACACTGTAAGTACTTGTTAAAATGTTTAAATATTTTTATTTTTACATTTCATTGAATATATCAAATTATTCAATCTACTGGCAAAATATATTCTTAGAAAAAGATCCCTTTTATACAAACACATCATAGGCAGACATTAACTTGCAGAGCCTTTACTTGATTTAACTTTTTCACATCTTGTCAAATACAGCCACAAAAATAGATTGACACAAAGTAACAAATAATTATGAAGTGGAAAGAAAATGAGACAGGGTTTTCTAAGTACAAAAACATTTTTAAACTGCCTTCATGCCCAAACCTCCCTTCAAGAGAGCTCTCTAATCTCAATAGGATTTGCCTGATTAAAAAAGTTTAAATTAAGTTGTTGTTTACTAATTAAAAAAACTGAAGAGTGTGGCATGCATTTGTATTCACCCCCTTTACTCTGATACCCTGAACTAAAATCCAGACTTACCAAGTCGTTGTTTAAAATGTTCCATTCCCCAGTGTTCATGAAACTGAGCTGAAAAGATCCTCAGCCTTAAATACAGAGGAGGGTCATCAGCTGGTGTTGATGACAGTCTTGCCGGGTCTTGTCAGAAACAGACAGCACCACCAAGTGATACAAATGTGCACTTTAAAAACTCACCTTAGAAAGTAAAATGATGAATGGAGAACAGAAAATATGAATTTCAACAGTACCCTCCACCCCAACCCCAAAATGGTTTTGTTCTGGCGACTAGATCGTTTGTCCAATTGATTCCTATAGAAGATTCAAGGATTCAAGGATCTTTATTGTCATTCACATCGCATGTGGTACATGAGGTGGAATGAACTTGTGTACACAGGGTCCCAGTTACATCAAACAATAGCAAAAATAAAGTATAAAAAGAAACAATAAATAAGGATCTAGATCAGGGGTCTGCAACCTTTACGATCAAAAGAGCCCCTTTGTTCACTTAATTAAGTGTCTGGAGCCACAATAATCTGTTACAACTGTGATCTTCAACTGCTGGCCTGTGGACCACTTTAAATTTGTTGGAGGAGGCTTTTCTGGCCAGTAGGGGTGACTTTATAAAACTAAAAATATCTAATGGTTTTTAACATTTGAAATGTGTACATTTTAAGACAAAATAAAAGGCTGGATTGTTGTAAAGAAAGAAAAGAAAAAAATATAGATTTTAACAATTTTGTAAAATTTTAAACAATGAACTATGCAGGCCTATGATTTTATATGTTATTGTGGAAAAATTAAGTATCTTACTTTGAAGAGATAAAGCATAAAGTGAGTATGGGTTATACTTTTGTATTGTTCTACTATTCACATATTTGAAAAAAAAAGACAGGAAGACTGTTAAAACAACCCTTTTTCATTTTAGTATAACAACCAATAAAATTCAGTTTTATGTTAGTTTTGGTCAAAGCTTGAAAGAGCCGCTGTGGCGGGACCAAAGAGCCACTTGTGGCTCCAGAGCCGCAGGTTGCCGACCCATGATCTAGATGGTAAAGAGTAAGATGGTAATGAGTCGGGGGATTAAGGATGCAGAGTGGGATCCAGGATTGTTCTTCTGGGTTTTACCCTTCCCAATTCACCAAATATTGAAGACCTTTGTCCCTTTACTAATGAGGGGTTGATGACAGAGTCGATATTGGAGGGACATACAAATCTTGTGGCTTGCTTTTCTAGAGGCTTGTTTGAGAGGCATATTATAGAAGTAGAGCCACATTTTCTGACCAGTGTCATACAGGGTAGCTGGATTTTTTTCTTTTGTCAAAATATCTATATTGATTTGCTTTCCATAATAATGTTGCATTGGTTTGATGCCAAATCTGCCAACAACCCTGCAGGTGGTACTGAACTGAGGGCACACCCACTTTGGTGTTTTGAACAGGGAACAAAGGATGTTAATAGCCTAATGAGGCTTCACAAGGAGTTAGTCCAGTAGTGTAAGATGTTAGAGTGTTGTATACATATCCAATCCATGGCACTTGAACTCCAGAACGTAGTATTAATTCGGATGACAAATTTTAGTGTAGCATCCAGCTCTTGATTGATATGTTTAGTTTGGCCACTGGATCATTGATGAAAACTAGATGCCAACTTTTCCTTGGTCACATTTTTAAAGAAATATTCCAGGTGTGTATAAATCTAAAAATGATCATAAAAAGATGTGTCTTCATCAGTTTTTTTTAACTGATCTCTCCCATGAAATCAGTCCTGTGCTCCAGAATTGTTCTTTGCTTAATTTACTTTGAGATTTTATGTGATATCAAGCCAAAACTAGACAGGCTGTTTAGAAACATTGATATGTCTCTAAATATGAGCCAACAATAATATAGACTCCCCTTCTAAGAAGGATTCTTACCCCCACCCCCAATGTTTCTGCAGTTTGGGAATGAGTCTCAGCAATTGGAGTGGGCCAAGCGTGAGAGTGAGCGGGCAGAGCGTGAGCGGCTGAAGAGACTCCGACAGCAGGAACAGGAGGATCTGGAGCTGGCCATTGCTCTCAGCAAGGCCGAGATGTCCAACGCATGACCTGAAACCACCTCACCACTGGCCGTCAAGGAACCAGAACTATGACTGAACATTCAACCATGTAGACATGAAGCCCAGAACTCCCTTGACTCACTGATGTATATTCTGCAACACAAAGAACATGTCCATACAAGTCCATCAGTTCATGTTGACTAAACAAGGAACCTCAGTGTGGACCTGATGTCCTGATGGAACGGTTAACCAAGCCGACAAGATCATCAAACACCTTAGCAGTATTCAATCCAAGCAGCTCCTCTCCACCTGATATCTCACAATGGTACAATCAGCACACCAACAAGAAGCACTGAATCACAAAAGAGCTGTGGCAGAAGTTTTCCCAAGTGCAGATCAGTTCCTGTTGGTGTCTAAACAGGTGAACCTAACACTATGATTCCACTTACACTGCTGTTTCCTCCCAGAAGACTTTGTTCTGATTGGATAAGTCAAGGTTGTTGAAGTTGTTTATACTTTTATTTGTTCAGTATTTCTTATAGAGAAGGTTGAAAAAGAATCTGCTCATGATTCAGATGGTCTTCACAGTCCTGTCTTGCATTTTGTTTTAATGAACTCTGGATGAGTTGTACAGAAATTACGTTTTTTCTTGTGTCCTCATGTTTCCCAAACGCCAGTGTTCCTCAAAGATTGGCCCAGATCAGAACCTCCAGTAGCGTTAGAAACAAACTCATCCTGAGGGCAAAGGACACTGGTCGGTTCCCCAGACCACATTCATTAACACAGGCTTTTATTTGAGTTCAGTTCCAGAATCCATGTTTTTTTTTCCAGGTCTCCACGTGTTTCTTTTTACCAGTTTCAGCCTTTAGGATGTTTGTTGTTACAGAACAAATTTAGACATTAAAACTGACTTCTAAAACAGTCAAATATACAGTAACACAAAATCATCTCCTTATAAAATGTCTGAACTTAATTCCAGGATCCTTCTCACCATTCATGTGTTCAATGGGCATTAACACGTTCACTAGACTTTCATGTGTTCATCAAACATTCACATGTCCACACAGTATTCACGTGTTCATCAGACCATCATCAGACTCTTACACATTTAACAGACATTGTCATGTTTGAAGGACCTTCACATTTTTGCAGGACGTTCACATTTTCATCAAATGTTCACAAGTTAGGCAGATGACAAGACTTTTGTGTCTGCTGGACATTCACATATTAATGTGTTCACTGGACATTTATGTTCTCCAACATTCATGTATTCACCAAACATTTACATCCGCACAAAGTTCATGTGTTCTCCAGACGTTCCTCTGACTCTTAACACATTCACCAGTCATCATCATGTTTGATAGACATTCACATTTACCGTACAGCAGATGTTCACAAGTTAGCCAGATGTTCAAATGTTCATCGGATGTTCACGTTGGCCAGAAGTTCATTTTCATCAGACGTTCATATTCGCTGAACTTTCACTTGTTCACCAGATGGTCACATGTTCTGCTGACATTCAAGTTATTAGCAGACATTCACACATTCATCAGACAATTCATGCACACATTGGCCAGATGTTACCATGATGCCCAATCAAAATTTATCATGTGCAGCTGTTATTCTCATGTTAAGCAGATGTTTTCATGTTAATCAGACATTCTCATTTTCAGCTGCTATTCTCATGTTCAGCAGAGGATAACATGTTCATCCGAGGTTCACATTTAGTAGGCTTTCTCATGTTCAGCAGTCGTTCTCAGGTTAATCAGACATTCTTGTGTTTAGCAGATGTCCTTTTCTTCCCCAGACATTCACGTCTGCTGAATATGTAAGTCGCTTGGTCTCTGGTGGTTAGAAAAATTTACATTCAGGTTTTGGTGCTGAATGTATAAAATTCTGTCATTATTAAAATATTCTTTGGGAACTTAAATACCAACTAAGATACTGTCATCTTGAATTATTTTAAAATGATAGACCACAGTGAGAGCGGTCGTAAAATCTTATGCTGTCAGATGTTTTTAGACAAGAGCGTTTCTAAAAACACAATCTCGTTTTTAATGAAGTTACATGTTTTGTGTTAAATTTTACTTCCTGGTCACTTAAGATAGGAGGAGCAACATGATAGAAGTGTTAGGACAGCTAAAGTTTAACTACTGTGTTCTAGAGAACAAACCAGTTTAGATAGTCAATGTTAAATGGATTGTACTTAGCGCCTTTCTATCTTAACAAGATACTCAAAGCGCTTTACAACACAATCTGTGCCCTCATTTACCCATTCATACAGCACTCTACTATATACAAAGACTAATCAGTGCTAATCAGTTTTAGATCACATCCATACGCTGATGGGACACACATCGGAGGCAATGAGGGGTTCAGTGTCTTGCCCAATGACACTTCAGCATGTGACTGCTGGTGGAATTAAACCCCAACTCTCCCTTTAGAGGACGACCGCTCTAACCACTCAGCCACAGCTGCCCCAATTGCAGTCATATCATAGTTAGTCACAATCATCAGGTTTATCAAATCATTGTCAGGTGACTTAGATCATCATCAGGTGAATCAGATCACCATCAAGGGACTCAGAACACCATCAGGTGAATCAGATCACTATCTGCTGAATCAGATCATCATCAGGTGAATCAGATCATCATCAGGTGAATCAGATTGCCATCAGATGGATCAGATCACTATCTGCTGAATCAGATCATCAGGTGACTCAGATCACTATCTGCTGAATCAGATCATCAGGTGACTCAGATCACTATCAGGTGAATCAGATCACTATCAGGTGAATCAGATCACTATCAGATGAATCAGATCATCATCAGGTGAATCAGATCACTATCAGGTGAATCAGATCAACTGGCCCATGGTTACTGATCAACTCATCATTCAGTAAGCTATTTGAAGCTGTGTTCAGGCAGGTCAGTGATTGATAACTAGTTGAGAAGATTAAAGATGAATGACTGACGCAGCTGGGGTCTGATCCATATCAGAATGTCTGCATGTGCTGATCTGAGAGTTCTGTGATGTCAGGAAGTTTCAGCTGACAGTCCTAACAAAGGTTCACATTTTAAAGGGGCCATGTTGATCAGGTACTTGATGATTGTTGTTTGTGTTGCCATAAAGCTGTTATTCTTGACCTTTAACCTCTTCCTAATTTCTTTATTCAAACACTCAGATCTTGTGGATTTGATTAAATGCTGTTGTCATGCCAACACGAACAAAAATTTGCTTGCTTCAGTTCAACTGTATCAAACTGAACTTTAAATAATTTAGTTCAGTCCTTGGACCCAAAAGGTTCCAGGTTATTAAACCTTACCGTTAATGGGAGTCTCTGACCGTGCAGATGGACCGGTTGGGTTCTAAATCCAGACCCGTATTCCTGTTGTTTAAGATCAGATGCCTCCACTGTGCAATAGATGTTTACTTTTGTTGTTGTTGTTTATGAATTAGAGCCAGTTTGTTTGTGTTTTGATAAGTAGCAAATGTTGTTTTAATACTTATGTTTCTGCACTGAGCTTCATCTCCCATGCAGTCTTTTGTTTCACTGCAGATTCTACCAATGTCCAAAATGCCACCAGTTTTATTTAAGTATTCACATTTTGTATCAGTTTAAAATATTTATAGTGATTTAATTTGTTTTTAGTTTAAACAGAGTAGATTTTCTTTGGATTCTGTTATAAAATTATTCACACAATGAGGATCTTGTTTTGTTTTTCTAAAAGCTTGCTGGATTCTTTGGTCATTCCACAGAAATGGCCAAAATTATATATATATATTTTATTTCTTGTGTACAAAGTATAAAGAAAGTATCCAGTCTGTAATATTTGTCTCCTACTGAACAATAAAACTTGAATGGTTCCTCTTCATCCTCTGAATAAACGTTTCCGTTCAGTGGTTTGGACTCAGCTTCCTTTTGTTGCTGCAGCAGGTTGAAGAACTTCCCAGGACCGGTCCCGTCTGGTCTAACAGATATGGAATGGTTAGAGGTGCCGCCCCAAAGGCTCGTTTCTGTGTTAGTGAATTACAGTAGTCCCTCGTTTATCATGGGGGTTACGTTCTGGACCCTACCCCACTAAAGTCACTAGCTATGTTTACATGGACATAAGTAATCGGATTAAACGGCCATTTGGAATAAAAATGCGTCATTTAAACACCCATTCAGATTATTTTTTATTTATTCAGCTCGATCCGAAATAATTTGTAATCAGAATGATACAGGTGGATTATGCCGATCTATAACTCAAACGGTGCGCATGTAAACACTTAGTCTGTTCATTTTTTTCTGATTGTGAAAAACTGACCTGACTGCGCATGTGTGACCTGTCATTTCCACCTGGATAATACCAATAATATCAGCCTGTCGGGGAAGTAAAACTGGTCGGTGAGCGACAACATTTCTACTAGAAACTTTGAAAGAGCTCAAAATGATCTGTATCACCTGTAGCTCAGTCAGGGAGTGCAACAACGTCTCCACCGTTATTAAAACCTGTCGCGGGTCCATTTTGAGTGCTCAGGTTTGTTTACGTTCATCCCAGAAGTAAACCGGAAGTAGAACTTCTTCTTCTGTGTTTTTTTTAAGAAGAGTTTACCACTCTGCACATGTCAGTACTTCTGTTCAGAACAAACCCCGCTGCATGCAAACGCTTGTCGTGAACAGATTGTGCCCATGTACTGTAAACGATACATTTGAATTATTTCATCTGGAAACATTTCAATCCGGTCAAAGCATTTTGCACATGTAAACATAGTCACTGTATGGACCAAACTTTTTCAGATCGGATCAAAACTTCCCTCCTTTTCAGCATAAGGCAACAGAGTTTCTGGATGTGGCACTGTTGGCCTCTAGGAAATGTAGTCATTTGAGTGGCGATACAGTGTATGCTTATTGAGAGAAAACTACAAAATGGTGGCGCCTGTCCAAAGTATTTTTTTTTCATTAACTTTTTACTGTATCACGTGCTGTCCCAATCACCTCAATGTCCCAGTCATGTACAATTTTTATTTTTATTTTTCTCGCTCGTGTACAATCTTACTTTGAAAAACCGCAAAAGAGTGAGTCCGCAAAAGTCAAACCTCGAAGTAGCAAGGGACTACTGTAACTCATGAACCACCGGGTGGATTTAATCTACTTTCAGGAGTTAGTCATGTGATGCACATGCTTACCTTCTTCAGCTCTTCTCATTCAAGTTGGGTCAGACCTCTTCTGTCCAGTACCTTCCGGGCATATAACTGAGAAAGTGTTCTGGTCTGAAGTTTAGACTGGACTACATTATTTCTAATTGACCAGTTAGACTGGTCTAATAGACATCTAGGCAGCATCTGGGGCAGGGGCTACAATGTTAGGAGGTCTACAGTGTTGGCGGGCCTATCTTTCTAAGGTCACATGATGAGCTGAACAATTGACAGTTTTGTTACTTGTCAGGTTCTTTGTCAATCCCTTCACATGCATGTTTGCAGATGCTAACATGTTCAAATTAAAAGTGACCC